TATGGTAATAATCAATTCGAAAATTTGGAGAGGTAAACAGGTTATGATTATGCTATACATGGTTAAATTTCTATGAAAAAAAGGCTTCTATTGTTCGCAAAATTATGCGTAAATAAGTAGTGTTTTTGGACACAAATGAGTTGTAAAAAGGTAAATATGCGCAAATGAATTGTAACCCATAATAACACATAATTGATTATAGATATTTGTTATCTATAATGCATTTCATTAATTAATAATTATTACAGATACACATTAACTATGGGCATTCGTAATAAATAGGTTTTAGAGTAAACTGGTAAAACATTTTCAAACTTATCCTAGAGTCGGGGGAGGTCTTAGTACATTTTTAAAAAATTTACACAGATTTTTATAGAAGCATGTGGAGAAAAATATTTTTTTTATATAATTTGATAATCAATTAAATAAACAATAAATATCAAAATATTCGAAAAAAATTGAAAAGAGTCAATATGTGACACCTTCAGTTACGATAATTCAAATATCATATCTCACAATAAACTGATTTTAATTAATTTTTTCAATGAATGACTATATTTCCTCCAATCCTTTTTGGTCCAAATGAGCGCCCGAATTATTATATGCCCATACTAAGTACATTATCATTGCATTGTTATTCAATATACCCAGTGATGGTGCCAGGATTTTTTGCTAGGTAGGGCCAACTGGAGGCCAACAATTATAAGGTAGGGCCACCAAAAATGAGATTTCAACAAAAGATAAATACAATTATTTAATATTTTTTGCTTATGAAAAATGACTATATTATTATGTCTAAGGTAGGGCCAGTAATAGGGCCACTGGTAGGGCCAGTTATTTTCAGGTACGGCTATGGCCCTACCTCGCCAGTCCGTAGAGCCGCCAATGAATATACCTATCAACAAATTAATTACTTTTTGAATTCATACATAATACTTAAAAAGAAAATGCATATGTTTTACAGGCTTATTGGTATGCTGCCAACATCTTGTGCAATATTTCCACAGTTTAGGTATTATTTTTTTATATCATTCACTACGTATTGACAGGAAAGTAATAGTAATAGTAGGAAGATAATATGATAATGTTTATTTTTATTTTTCAGTTCTGTCAAATTAAATACATTAAAACAATATGACGACGAAGCATACAGTCAAATTACGAAAAATTGTTCTCAAATACCAGATACAATATATTTTAATAAAGGAATATGAGAAGTATACATTTATATTTATTAAGTGAAATTTACAAGATATTATAATATTCTCTGATTTTATATAACTTTCACATATAAATCTACTAATCATTAATAATTAATTATTAGAATATATATAAAATATTTCTTTATATTTGGTGAAATTTGACAAGTTTTTAATTTTATAGAATAAACTACTATTAATAACCAGAGATTTATACAATAGATTTTATTTTATCTTTAAACCGTTCACCATACATTTCGAAATAACAGAAAAAAGCAAATGTTTTCAGATTATTAAACTATTGGTTTTTTTTTTTTTTATTTAATTAAATAATCAGTTTTCTAGAATTCTTATATAAAAATGTTAAGTATCTAGAGTTAACATTCATCTATACATTTTTACAAAAAAAGTCGCAGTTCTAAAATAATAAAAAAATAAAAACTCAGCTGCTTTTTCCATAATTCAGTTATTTTGAAAAAACATAACAAAATTAATTGTTATGGTCCAAAATTGTATAGAATTTTTATAATACCACTTAAATTAATGAGAGTGAGACAGGTGAATTTATTAATTTTGAATTTTTTAAATCAGTTATCTTATTTATTATAAAATAACATATTCAATATCGCGCATAAATTCAACACAGTTAAATGTAAAGAACAGAATAGCGTTCCACGACTTATATTTCAGATTTCGAACAAAGTAAAGATTATCAATGTATCGATTTTATAATCATAGATTTTTTTTATCATGTCAAACTTTCGAGTACCTAGTAATTTATATCAAATGATGCAATTGAATAACGGTCTCATTCAATTAAAAGTACCATTGATTATAGAATATTCTATTCTATACTCAATGATAGTGCCTACCTATTCTAAAACTACTATAAAAGTAGTCACTTTTCAATGTTCTCAATTTTCCTTAATGTAGAGAAAACCTTAAAAAATAAATCTAATATTGTTATATCTAATGTTAAATTTAATAATATTTTTAGGTGAATAAGTAGGAAATTCATTTTATGTCTTGTGAACCTTTTTATTATCGATACAAACACATTGGGCCTCTACTGACTGATAACCTTAATTTTAGTAAATAATATGGGTAATATAACTAAGGCAATATAGGGACATTTACGATACAATACTCTAATTGTTTATTACATTTGTAATCTTTATTTTCTTATTAAATCAATTTTTTAACATTTTAGAACTTTTATAGATCTGACAGTAAACTATTTGAGTAAGAATATATTACCTACTTGATTATCGACTTCAATTATTCAAAAACTGGTTTTTACTAGAGCTCTTAATACACGTGAATTCACAGAATTCACGTGTCACATGTCACGTGTAAAATTCAAAATAAAAACGTATATCCTTAACATAATACTGTACTAATAATATTTTATTACTTCAAGTGTATTACATAAAATTACTAATTTTCATCATTATAAAAATGGATTTATACTTGGATAAACACGTATTTCACGTGTACACGTGAATTTCGTGACACGTGTTTTAAGAGCTCTAGTTTTTACAGTATTTTACTTCAAAAATCAATATAAAAATGTTTGAAGTAATAATTTTACTTCATTTTATTATGGAAATTCAGCAATATTTATCAAAGGTGTACTATTGATAAATGATGGGCAACGTATGCACAATAAAATATAAGATATGTAGATACTGATTTAGATTAGACGGATATTAACCTACTGATAATAATAATATAGGTACGATAAGTCAATCAAAGTAATAATCATTTAATTTATAGCAAAGTACCTAAAGGATATGCACGACTGTTATACAAGCTTCAGATTATATAATTTAGATTATTTAATATTTATTAGGATTATTATGAACGATAATTCTGTGGACGAATTCCATAAATAAAATCAATTTTATTACCTACTACGCTTTATAAAAATTGTTCAAGTCAAAACTTCTCTTTAGGCGATTAAAGGAAAATTTGCATTCAAGTTTCATTCTATTTTTCATTTTAATAGAAAACAATTGTGGGAAAGGGTATTTAATTCTTGGTCTATGATAGGGCGTAATTTTAAATTTTGAACGTAAAAATTCCGAGTTTCACCTATAAAGGATATATGGACTTATTTAAGAAAATTGTGCAAAAGAACTAATGGAGAAGTATAACAAATTTACTAAAAACCCAGTTATCAATGCGTATCTAATATGCACCTAGATCAAACGGGATTTTAAAAAGTTTTGGAAGGAAAGATCAATGAGAGAAGACCTTGGGATCGCCCAAGACAGTAGTGGGCATACAAGGTTAACGATGATCTAAACAAGTGCGTCCAGGGAGTAACATATGTAAACATTAGCGTGGCGATGTGAATGATCGAGAGTCGGCCGCCTGTTTTTTTTTGTGCGGGGGGGTATTGATAAAATATACTTGCCTTTGAACATTTTTGAGTTCACCACGCCATTGATTGCAAAAGATCGGATAGAGTAGATAGAAAATATAGAGGCAGCAAAAGTCCTTCAAGGATCGTAAAAGCCGAAGAAGTATTTTAAACAGAGTATAATAATTAACAAAATATTTATTTCTAATTTTACATTATTTTTATATATGAACAGTTATGATAAAAATTAATCTCAATGCTTATAATGATATAATTTTTGGTGTATAAGATAAATTTCAGAATTTGATAAATAGCCGAGAGGAGAATTAAACATTTTTAGCCTATACTCTAATAAGGAACATATGGCTTTTGATATTTATCATTAAAGACGTTTGGTGATGTATTTTGGTTATTTTAATTTTAATATTAAATAATAAAACTTACAACAAACTAGGTGTTAAACTAACAAAATTAAAACTGTACACCAATAAATGTTATCAGAAATCAGACCTAGAGTAGAGGACTATTATAATAGGAAATGTATGGTTATTAATGTAGAATCTTAAGGAAATACATTTTTAAGTATAGGAGTCTAGATTCCTAAATTACGCCTTTGTTTTGACTATACAAAACTTATTTCTTCAACCAGTAGGTATCTAACAGACATGTTTGAAAGAAAATACTTTAAGATCATAATACTTAAAATATTATGGGTAGTATGGGGTGATGGTTTTCATTACTCTTATCACTTTAAAAACACCTACTTGACATATTATGTGTCTAATTTAGAATTTATATGCAAGTCATTACTTAGTACTTATTAATTAGTAACTATCAGTAGAGGATCCATGATTTTCTTTTGGTAGGGGGAGGTTGAAAAATGTTTTCCCTTGGAATATTTTTTATAACATCGCAGTCAGTGATTGATAATGAATTAAAATATTAGTAATTTAATACATTAATTTAAATCTAAGACAATTTTCTTGTATGAATAAAAATGCAAATCTCATATATTCCTTCATACTTTTAAAAAAAATCTTCTTAATCCATAAAATTATTGATTTTTAAAATATATATTTTTCCTGATTTTGGATGGTTTTAACCCCCCCCCCCCCCGTGGATCCAACGCTGGTAACTTTTCTTGTTGATGAAGTGTATTTTTTTTGTTATTAGACATTTCAGAATTATAAACATATTTATAAATTTAATCAATATTCAGTTTTATCTTATATTAATACTATTCATAATATATTTGCAAAGAAAAAACTAATTTGATATTTTCATAAAAAAAATATTTTATTCCTGAAAAATAATTACATATTAGGTTCATTAAATGTTTTTGAATAGTATATAATATAAATGACAAAGCTTAAAATATTTTCAACAAGTAATTAAATCTTAAATAATGAACAAATTAAGAACATAAAACTAACCATCAACATATAATTAAAATAATCAATGACTCTTAATTAAACATATTTGGAAATTTGTATTTACTCATCTTAGATGAGATAACACATTTTTATTAATCAGGTACATATAATACAAATAAATTAGAAAGATAGGGCAAAAATAAGAGAAAAATAATAAAATAAACATAACAAAATTAACAATTATAAATTTTTAAAAATGAAATCATATTTTTATTAACGGGACAACATTATATAAATGGGTATCAAACTAAATTATTTCTTTAACATGTTGGTAATTATTAATTGTTTTTGTAACTTTATATGGTTATGAGAAATTTAACATAAATAAATAAATGGGATTTAATAAAAAAAATTAAATAATAGTTCGTAAAAGAATTATAAATATTATTGTAAGTTGTATACTCATACCATAATATAATACATTTTATAACTTTAATATCGTTAGTATTAGATAACTGAAAAAATTGATACTTATACAAAACATATTTGTAAAACAAAATAACTTAATTCAAATTTGTTTGGTACTTAACATTATTTAACATCATGAAATAAACATGTCATAAACACTTAATTTTCTTAGCAAAATACTAAAATAACAATAATTACTATAAATATTATATTCATAGACAAGCAAAATCATTTGAGTTGATCAATGGTACAGTTAGGTTTACATTGATAAAAACATGATCAGAATTGGAAGGATCAATAAATAAACATCTGCCTTCAGAATGAAGTACATCTAATGGAACACTATAAGGATGAACTGGACCAGACCAAGAATGTTGATCATCATTGTTATAAAGACAGCCAGTAGTTAGTACAGCTGTAGTTGAGGAAGTACTAGTATTATCACCGTATGACGAAACATACTAAAAGTAAAAATAATCATATTAATTATATAATTGTAAACAGGTTATACAAGACATAATACTTGAATAGTGGCAACAAAAGTGTGACTATAATAATCAAATGAAACTGTGATTATATAAATAGTGTTTTGTATGAATTGTAAATGAGTAAAGCATCCCAAGGATTGTATATCTTGACATCTAAACTTGTGCATGATTGAATTTCCACAAGATATCATTTGTTGGTGACACTAATAAAACAATTCATAAATTGCTGATATCATATAATGAAAATATAAATAAATTACACAATACAATTTATGACTACAATACAAGACAAAAACTTAATGAAAAAAAAAAAAAAAAAGTTTATTTGTCAAACGAAAGAATTTGAGCAATTCATGATAGTATCATAAACAATAATTATGCATAAATTAAAGTTTTTATTTTCCAACTTTAATATAAAAGCTAGTATAGGTTTTTATTAATAAATATTAGGATATATTCTTTATAATAAATTAATATATCAAAAAATATTTTAATTAACTTCACTAATTTATGAAATATTAATTAATGAAAGGAAATTGATAAATAATGTATTGAATACTTATTAAATTACTAAAAATCGTAAGTTGAAATAAAACTGACCGAAACCAAATGAACATATAAAGTTGCAGAATGTGAATACCATAAGCAACCAGCAATTGGACAAGGAAGCTTGTTGGTAAGTTCAGACAGTGTATGGTTAACAGGGGTTGTAATAGAATTTTCATTTTGCCCAGATTGTTCGTCTAAAATGGAATCGTTTGAATGCTGTAACTAAAATTCATCAAGCACAATAAGCAATGAAAAAAATTGAAAAGAAAATAAATTTAGTACACTCTTACATTTTCAGGGAAAGACCATGGAGATGTCAATAATCCCGACTCATAATACTGCAAAGTTCTAATGACTTCACAACTGGAATCTGGTAATTGCATGAACTGAACATCATTTGTATCTATATAATTTTGTATAACATCATTTTGAACTAAAGTTGTGTCATGCGGTCCTAAAAGAGAACCCTAAAAAACCAAAAAATTACAAAACCATGTTACATTAGATTTGAAACATTTTACATCTTCAAGTGAATTGAATGTTTCACAATTCACCAATGGCGTTGACATTTCTCCATTTTCCATCCGTATAGACATGGCCCAACGTTGATCAAAATCTCTTTGTTCTTGTTCTATATTCCCGGCTGATTGATTACTCAAGGTATCAGAATCATCAATACATATTATTGTATCTGTATCAGTTGGGTCATTTCTAAAAAAAAAAAAACAAATATGTATAACTAAAAATAATATTCATATAAATATTCATATAATTTTACATGCTATTATTAGAGTTATCTAGCTCAAAACTCGCATTAATATCAACATCAGCTAATTGAGGTATATCAGGAAATGCTTGAATGTCAGGTAAGTAACTATTTGTTGATAGAGAAGATTTTATTTCTTTTAAAGGTGTAATAGACTTTTTATTATTATTTTTCCACGTTATCTAAAATAAAACATTAATATTTCAAATAGTTCATAATATTAATAATAATTAAACCTTCAACAAGTACAACTTACTTTAGATGAATTTTCAATTAATGAAGAAGCTTTGTGTGAAATGTTTAAATTAAATGGTCTTGAACTGTCATACTAAAAACAACAAACGTTTTTAAATGATTTCATAAAACATTATGAAAAAATTATTTTATTTTAAATAAAAAAAAACCTATGCTAAGAATCGCCTATTTACAAAAAAAAATAAAAAAATAAAAAAATATATAGATAATTCTACAGGAAAACAAAAATCCTGGCTATATTACTGTCTATAAGTTAACATTTGAGTTATTTAATGGAAAAAATATATTAATACCTGATAATAGTTATAATAAGAGTTGTTATTTGATGTAAAATTAGTATTAGTTGTTGATCTGTTAAATCTAGTTCTATTTGAAGAGAGCAAAATATTTCTTAAAAGGTTTTTTGTAGTCTTAGCTATTGGTGATTGACTATCTGTATTTTTCAATGAATTAGAAGAGTACACCTAAAACAGAAAAATATATCATTTGCATAATATAAATACTATTTAAATACATACTTGAATTTCAGAAACAGTAGAGTTAGACTTCATTGGTTTCTCTATCTTGTGAACATGAACTTTTTCAACTTGTATTTTTGTGGTTACTGAAGTAGGTGTATGAATATTTTTTTGATTGGTTTTTAGTTTGGATTTTCGGGGTCTCCCCACAGACCGCTTTTTTACCAAATTCTCGGCTGTAGATTTTTTCATATTCTGTCGTTTGGTTTTCATAATACGCGTCAGAGATTTTAATTCGCCGTCTAAGCCCATTCGATGCAATCTTAATAAATCGACATAATCTTTCTTCTAAAAATTATTAAATAATAATTGATAAAAATTAAGCGATTAAAAAGAATGGAAGTGGCTTAAATTACCTAATATTTATCGCACTTTTTCTGATAAAAATATTATTTCGAATATTATGAATATATAACACAAATTAATACACCAAGAAAGAAAAGGAAAGGTGAGGAAAATAATAATAGCACTTTCTTTTTTCGGCAATACTGTAATGGAAATGTTTTAAGAGTCACAGCAACAAAACGGTGGGTATATCAACAAATAAACAGCAACAAGGTAGATTTGAAACTATCTTGCTGAAATCATCGAGAGCGGATTGCCGTTGAACGATAAAATATAGTCGGTCCGGTGCGAGAAACTTGGAAAAACACCGACAGACTTCTACGCCGGTTAAAGGACGACAATTAATGTGAAAATTGCACATTCGTAAACGAATAAATGTAAATAAATGTTCGGCGGAAGTGGCAATGGCGACACGGAAGCAGACGGGAGACCCGAACGAACTACGAAATCCGAATGACGAATCGAAGGAGACAATAATGCACCGTCAACTTAGCCGACGTCCCTATCGTTTTCGGAGATCATTAATCGATTTTTATTCTTCGATTTTGTTCTAAATATAACTAACGGTAATAGGGAATACCCGGTAAAATGTTACGATTGTGATACTGTGGCATTTATACGGCCGCCCGTGTGAGTGCGTCTCCGACCGGTCCATTTTTCAAATGAATTATCGTGTTATTAATTATTAATGACATATTGTTATTGGCTATATGATGAATTATTTTATTAAACGCGCCAACACGGCGGATAGCAAAACGATAATAATTATTGAATACTGGTATTATCGCGCATAGCGTTTTCGTCAGTCGTTTCACAATCATTTTTATTGTTAATTATTATTATTTATTACAATACGAAACTTGTTCCGAATACGTACCTTTAGATTTCCGGGCAGACCGAGATCTAAAGCACACTTTACGACTGCCCGATACGACATCAACTCAACAGCGTCGTCCGTTTTCGGCATTTCTGCCGTCATTTTTATAAACCGTGTTGTAGGCACGATTTAAAATATGGCAGTATAAGATTTCGAAAAAATTGGAAAAATAAGGTAGACACGTTAGTGTGCACGTTTCGCCGTAACGGCCGTTCGAATTGTAAGTTGTGCTGGTAGAGGCGAGCGCGTTGCTGTCGCCCGCGATTGCGCCAATATTACTATTCAAACCCTTTAGGTTATGACGGTTTTTTTTTTATCAATGAGATTTAAAAATATGCATTCGGAACAGTTCAACTCGGGCACGTGCCGTGGATGGTGATGGAGGAGGATGAGGGATATGTCCCCCTCCCGTGAGATAAGTCAGTCTTCGCTCTCGAATAATGTGGTAGCTGATTGGTAGGTTTACAGCACAATGTCATGTTATTGTCTTAATTTTTATCAGTACAACTATAGATATTCTATCCAAATAAAAGTCCGTGCTTCGTCAATTTCGACATGTCTTTCGATCATCACTATACTTATACATAAACAATATGTATGAATAAAACTATACACTTGTCGTACGATCCACATCAGGTCGTATAACGGATAAATTATCCTACGAATTTTAATCGTTTTTGAATCTTGGTCACCTGATGATTTTGATTTAAAGCTGTTTGCTTGTAATTTTTATTTTAAATTTTTAAAATATAATATTTTATGAGATGTGCCACACACAACGTATAACTGTAGTCGTTTACATATTCATGTGGTTTACAAAGTTCATTACAATTTATTGTTTTTAATTAATTGTGTATGAATTGTTATCACAGAAATTATTTTTCATGAAACATATATGTAATTAATGGTGAATTGATACAAATTAAATTTAATGATATGAAAAATCTTTCGATTTTTAAGTTAATATTAGTGATTCTACAGTGTAAGATCTATTTTATTTTAATGTTTTTTTTTCATTTTAAAATTTATTTTATGATTCAATTACAAAAAAAACTTGATTATGAAATTGAACGCAAAAAGTGCTTTATACCTATGAGTCAACTTTTTTCAATAAACAGTTTTTTCAGCTGTTTTTTAAAAAAATTAATAATGTTGAAATTGTTTTGTTATTCTATAATATAGATAATATACTATAATAGATTATATATTCTTCTAAATATTAAAAAGTATTGTAAAAATCATAAATTGAAAAATTATTTTCAGTATTTTTATGCTTTAATACATATAATCAAATGTGAAGGTAATATTATCATTTATGACAATTTGTGGTATTCATTCACGGAAAACTTTTTTTTCAAATAAACTAGAAAATGGAAAACATTCTAATCAATATTGAAGCATTTTAAATCTATTTTTTAAACTTGCCCGTGTTATGAGTTTGTTATACTTATATTTAAAAATATTTATGGAAAAATATTAAAAAAACTATTTAAATAAACGATAAGTTTTTTTTAGTATGTAGCTAACCTTACACAGTACGTTACCTACGTTTCATTATCATTTTTGATTACTTCCACTACCAGAGTTGAGCTTGTGCCACTGAACCACACAAAACTATCTATGGTTATACACTAAACCAAACACAAATAATATCTAGATAAGTACATTTAAAATGCAGGGAAAGTATTCGCGTTTTGAGCTTGAGGAGCGAGTTTAATCGTAGTTCAAAATACCAAACTCGTTCACCTCTAGTTAGCTGGATCCCAGATGTTTAGAGAAAATATAAATACGTAGAGAAAATCTATCGTATCTGTTTTACGTCGTGAAATTGATAAATGAAATACTATGCTTGAGGATGTGTTAAACATTTACCCTATAAATATAAAACACATGTACTATCAGTCGTTTGTTGTACGGCGCCCTCTGTTATTATGTGAAATTTGTTTACAAACTGTACGAGAATTTATATAGTATATATTCATAGACCTAATATATAATAGGTCTATGTATATATTACCTTCGTGTTATCACAAATTGCATGTATAAACAAAATTGAATGTTTGATATGTGTTATCAATCTAGTTATGATTGGAACCTAGCCGCCAGAACGGTAATCACAGTAAAGCGAGTACAGTGCGTTTATAGCATAGAGTAAGTAGTTTATAGTGTAATGCCGTTGTTTATGTTGAATATTAATACGTTGATGAGTAATAATAAATTGTTTCTCTAGTATTCAAGTAATTGCTTGATAAACATTACATATATTGTAACAAAAAAGTGTTCATTCAATTTAAAGAATCAGTATTTAATTTCATTAAGCATTATGGATGATGAGTATGATGAATATCGTCGTTGGGACGGAGATGTCGACGTTGAGGTTTGTTTTCTAAAATAAATAAAAATAATTTATTCCAAATTTTTTCTATGTTTTTTAATTAGAATAATTGTGTTTTTGTATTCGTAATACTTGGATAATTTATATTTGTGTATATAGTTAATAAATTCTGAAAACTATTATAATTGAACATTTTTATTTAGGTTGATGACAATGATGATATACTAGAAAATCCTCAAGAGACTTTAACACAATGTTTAGAAAAATTCAGTAGTGCAGATTATATTATGGAACCAGGAATATTTTCACAATTGAAAAGGTGATTTATTTTAATAAATTATTCGTTTCTACTATTGTAGTAAATTGAAGTAATAAAATAAATAAATTATAATATAAAATTTCACAACATTTATTAAACTTCATTAATTACTAATTACAAATTACATAATTACATTATAATTTATACTCATTCTTATTTGTGTACAAAGTTGTGCTACTTGCTATGTCCTCAATTAATTAATATTGGCTAGATTGTTTTTTCATTTCATATATTCAACAAACACGTTTATATTTTAAAATATTTACCTATAAACTTCTATAAATAATTTATTAAAACTATTTTTCATTATTGTATAACTTATTAAAGTATATATTTTTATTTGTATAAATATGTAATGTAAAATAAAACAATATTGTGTATATCTTTACTATTTCAATTTTAAAAAACTAAAAGGGTTTATTAAATAGTTCATTTTATGAACTTATGATATATTATCGCCTTTATATTATATTACTTGGTAATTATTATAAATGTTATGATCTGAAAAAAAAACAGGAATGCTAAATTTGAATTCAGGGTTACTAAAAACTGTCTTGCCCGTCCCCTAGTTGTGCCTACGACTATAGTGTATAATATGTACATTGTACATAGTACAGTCGTTTTATATTGTGATCTAATCTAATTGAATCTAATATTAATGGTACATATATACTTAAGAGTCGAGTTGTACGTCTGTATATTTTTAAGCAGATTTAACGGCGATGACGGAAACTTTTTCAAAATAGGGGAATATTTAACAAAATTATGTAATAAAAGTAAAAATATATAAATAACCCCAAATATCTAAAAATATGTAGTGTCAACCATTGCTTAAATCACTCAGATAGTCCTGAAACATAATTTTATAGAAGAGTCATTCGATTACCATTATTCATGACAAATATGTAAGTACACATAAATTTGCACTTTAATAATAAAAAATATACTATTTTATTTTATATAGGTAGTGTTTTTTTTATTAAAATTATATTAAATTTAACTAATCTACATATGACACCACATACAGAGAGTGATATTTTTTATTCATATAGTGTTAAATAATATTCCATCTACAGAGTCACAAAATAGGTTATATAAAAATATGTTATATTACGCATTATAACAAATGCAGCAGCTCCAATGCAGCATGCAATTTATTCTAGATCTGTCATGGTCACGACTGTTGACAAATATATAGTGAAAAACTAAATTATGAACAAACCTTTTTTGTTATTAATAAAATGTTCAAAAATGTTTGACAAACATTCAAAAAACGTTTATTAGATGTGGATGCAACTTAAGATCTAATTAAATGTATGTGCTAAAACAGGATGAAAAATTATTAATACAGTAATTATACAATGAATGTATTTAATAAAGAATTTAATTAAACCAATTTATTATAATATATTATATATCATATTTAAAGTTTAAACTATTATAATCATGTATAGATATTTTCAAGTGGGTGGAACTCCAGAACACGTAATAGAATTGCTTTCAAAGAATTATATTGGTGTTGCTCAAATGGCTAATATGGTCGCCGAATGGCTGATCCTCGGAGGTAAAAATTTACTATTATAAGTTAAAAATAATATTGAATCTTTATATTTAACAATAAATTTGATGATTTATTTTATAATATTTTAGTATTTTAAACCATTATTTTTGTGTATACAAATAACATTTCAACATTAACTATTCTATTAGGTGTTGCTGTTGGGGAAGTTCAATCATTTGTTGAAAATCATCTTAAAGATATGGTACTGAAAACATTTGATCCAAAAAAAGCTGATACAATATTCAGCGAAGAGGGAGAAGTATGTTATTTTTCTACATGTTTGAATAGAAATTCTTTGAAATAGTATAATATTATTATTATTATTTCATAGACACCAGCTTGGTTAACAGAGATGATAGAACACAAAATATGGAGGTCATTAATTTATAGGTTGGCAGAAGAATATCCTGATTGTCTTATGCTTAATTTTACTATTAAGGTATAATTTTCTATGTTATTATTTTTATTTTAATCATAATTTTTATCGTAATATACATTTATTATTTTTACTTACAGTTGATATCTGATGCTGGATATCAAGGTGAAATTACAAGTATATCAACTGCATCTCAACAAATTGAAGTATATTCCAGAATATTAAAAAATTTCATTACAGAATCTATAAAAACAACAAGTGAAAATCGACAAAATACAATTCAAGAATGTGCTGTAAGTGACTTTTTGTAAGACTAGAAATTGTAAGAAAAATTATGGTTTTGTTTTCTATGTTGTTAATATCATTATTTATTTTAATTTCCTTACTTATAGTAAGGCCCTTAGCCTATGTACATCTATAGATAAAACAGATTTTGTTTTTTTATTTTATGACTTGATGTGAATTATAGTAACTGATATAATAATGGAATTCATGGATATAACTAATAGGTAGGTTGATTTGTTGGGATTAAGATTTACAATAAAAAATGGTATTATGTAAATAGTTATGTATATAAAGAAAACATTGAATAGTTGTGAACAAGTAATAAGAAAACATTTTAAAGCAATTTTTAAGTAAGATTGTCACGAGTTTGACCCATTTTAATTTGACGTTGAGGTACTTGTGCATGTATTAAATTGAACATGTTAAATTGAGTTATGAACTATGGACGTTATTGGCTAAAATTTTGATATCATGTTGAATTTATTAAATTTTTAAGTCTGGAATTGATAATGTCCATTTCTTTAAGCCAAGAAGCATCGGAGATTGTTTATATTTTAACTGTCTGATTTTATAAAATTTGTATTTTTTTAATAAATGATTAATATTACTTTACATTACTATATTAAAATCAAATTATGAATACATTTTTATAACACTTTTTAAATGAAGTATTTTTTATTAAGTAATTATAATTTTAAAAATATTAAATTGACTTTATCAATTAATTAAATTTACTTTTTGATTTCACATCCCATCTACTTATTATATAGTTGATATGGGACTTATTCATTAATCATTTTAATGTTGTTTTCAAACTCTTATTCTTTCTTTTAATTTAAAATTATAAATTTAATATAGTTATATACAACAATTAGAATGTTTGGAAGAGTTAATCTTATTATTTAATAATATTCAGCCTTAAAATTTAATGAATTACAAATTAAATTTTAACTTTCTATTATGTTTTTTCCAAAATATTCTTTGGCCATATTTATAATACTTAATAATTTATATTATTTATAGAACAATTTTGTACAATATTATTTTATATTTAAAAATAATTGATTTTTAATTACATATGCCCAATTTCTTTCTTTCTTTTTTTTTCTTCAGAAAATGGTATGTCACAGCCAACATACATATGTTTTTACATTAGTTGCTCTTCAAGTTTTAGCTAAGGAAACTAATGGAGGGGTAAACATGAAAAGATTTTCTCAAGAAATAACTCATTGTGCTCAAGAAAGGTAACCATATTCATTATTTCTAAGTACTAAATTATTACGATTTATTATTATTTATATAATTGATTATTAAAATTATTAATTTTTGATGTGCATTATTTTTATTAGAAATGATGTAACTCCTATTACTATGGCATTAAATGGTGCTGCTCCATATGACCAACCATGTGCAGCATTGAGTTCTATGTTATCACGAAATGCTTTAAATCCTGCTGATATCAATGTACTTCATAAGCACTATTCATCGGCTGATTCCCCTCCTGTCAGTTTACTTCGAATACCACAATTTCTTGGTAAATTAAATTATCTATAGTTTTAAAACATTAATGTTTTTGACAAACTAAACTTGATGTATATTACTGATTTTTCATTGTAGATTTATTAGTTCAAGCTTTATTTAAACCTGGAATGAAATTGAATCCAGAGTATAAACCCAAGTACATATATCTCTATGCTTATTCTGCTAGTGTTTATGAAGTAACATCTGGTAAAAAAAGAAAAGTTATTAATAAAGATGATTTAAAATCTACCATACAATCAGTTGATAAAGTACATAGTATTTGTAATTTGAATAAAAGTTCAACAGAATTAATTGCTGAAGTAGCGACTATTTATCAATGTATCAGGTAAAAAATTATTTCTTAAATTAAATAATAACAAATTTAACATTTTGTGTGGTTAAAAATTTGATACTCATTATAAGAAAATTATTGTCATTTTCATATAGATTTCCCGCTGTTGCTGTTGGCTTAATATGTTGGGTCGAAAGTACTGTAACGGAACCAAGCTTTTTCAAGTTATGTACTGAACATACTCCTACACATTTAGCACTTTTAGATGAAGTTGTTACATGCCATCCGCAGTTGCATAATATCATACTAAAACTATTTGTATCTTTATTTGAATCAAAACAAGACGAACTTGAAATTTTAGTACATGTGAGTTAATTAATAAATAAGTCTTAATCTCATTTAATTATTAATTTTAGTGATAGTATTAAAGTATCTATAAAAATTACTTATGATCCCAAATTAATGAAAAACTATTGATATATTTTAAATGTTGTTGTCAATAATTTTTTCTTTTATATTTCAGTTGGAAATGAAAAAAATGCTGCTTGATCGTATGGTAAATTTATTATGTTGTGGCTGTGTTGTTCCAGTTATAAAATATATTGAACAGTGTTGGCATCGAGGAGATACAGATATTTCATTAATTCGTTATTTTGTCACAGAAGTAAAAACTGATTAAACAATTGCCTTTGTTTATACAATAATTATGTTTATCTCAATATGTAAATTACAGGCTTTAGAAGCAGTGTCTCCTCCTTATTCAGTTGAATTTGTTGATTTATTTCTACCAATTGTTGAAAACGAAGAAATTACTGGTACAATGAGATGTGATGGAGATAATGATCCAGTTTCAGAATTTATTGGTAAGAATACCTATTTATTCAAATCTTTAGAGTATTAAAAAATAATTAATATTTTATTTATTTTTATTTAGTACATTGTAAAGGAATGACAATGTGAAGTTATTCTATATTGTAAGATATTATTTTTAAAACAAGAACAATACGAAGAATTCAAATAAATGTCCCATGTATTATATACTCAAGTTTATATACGTGTAAAAATATTTTATAACTATTTAAATGTATTCCTCACCTTACATTTTTAAGTTTAGTAAACAAATTATTTATTCAAATGTCTGTTCTTGAAATGTTATTTATTATCATTGTAATGAGTAACAATTATCAATAAGTAAATTTTTTCTGTTAATTCAATATAGTGTCATGGCAAACTTTTTTTAGAGGTGACTATGTTTTTCCAATATCCACTTACGAATCATGATCACGACCAGTGTTGTTAAAAATATTTTTCAAAAGTATTTCAAATAGGTATTTAAATACAAATACATTAAAAAAATATTTCAAAACTTTTAAATACATTTTTTTAAGCTTTGTTGTTGTCATATTTTTAATTCTTAAAACATTATTACAAAATTACATTAATTTCAAGTGAGTAGTGACTAACATAATAAATTAGTTTTAAGGATTATTAACTTATAACAAGTGTCGGAATATGTGAGTATTTGGTATATTTGGATTTGGGGTGTCGCCGTGCTACAATACTATAAAATATAAATATTCAAATAGATATACGATAAACGGGAAATATTATTTTTTATATCTTTAAATATTTTTTGTCAATAACATTTATAATCGTCACTTTGTCTCATTGACAATAAGCAATTTCTTCAAAATCGAAAAACCAAACTCAAAATATTGTATTTAATATTTTTAAATACAAAATACAGACAAATTATTTAAATATTTAACAATTATGCTCACGACCCATCAAGTGATTATACTTGAATATTTAACACTGGGTTTTTATCAGTTTCTTAAAGAACAGGCTTAATAATTAAATAATTAACCATTAATTATTACCTACCTACCCACTCACCACTCTTAAAAATGTTGGAGGTGGTTTCTCAATAATCCTCGGCTAAGTCACTGATTTGATGTACTCTAAATTATTAGTTATATAACGAAAAAGTTATAAATATCAGGTATTAAAATATAATACATCATTTATGTTTTGTGTCATTGATCATAATATATATACATAAAATTAATAATATATTTATATTATTAAATACAATTTAAATCTTTAACATATTTAAATTTAGAGATCTTAATAAAGATAAAGGTAGCTTATTTTTAGAATATTAATGAGGGGATACTTAAGAAAATATATTCTGTGGTATATACAATAATTTCTTAATTGAATTGAAATGTTTGCCCATAACTCCTCATCTGGCAAGTATTTGGCAAGCATACTACTAGTGTAAGACGAGATAGTAAGGGTAAATATCTATTGAACGTGAATTGACTATTAATAAATTTACTTTTTATTTTTAAATTATGTCTATTTATTATATTATAAAATTACTTTTTAATCAATATTTCTTTCAAATTTTTTTGTGGGCGAGGTAAAAGGGGTAAACTAACTCGGTGAAAATAGTTCAATTGTCAGGAGCACTCTAGTACACCATACGTTTTGTGTAAGCCATGCTATACCAGCGAATCTTAACCTAGGGGTAATTACCCCCCGAGGAATAAAATAGGTTTTTTGAGGGGTGACTAGACCAATTTTATTTTATATTTTATATATTTTATACCTATTATTATAGTTATAACTATTGTTTTATTACCTTATAAAAATATTTAAAATGTGTACTTTCGATTATCTGCAGTTTTGTATGAAATGAACCATGTATATATGCACAAACTAAAATATAAAATATGTTCCTTAACATAGTACATCATTATGGTTCTATGAATTGTTCTAATTAGATTGCAATAATTGATATCTTATAATATAGGTTATACAGTAGGTTATGCACATGCGCTATTTTAATGGGAAGGGATATTTGCTAATATCTTACCCAATTTATGGATAATAGTCTTAAAAAGGTTGGGAACCGCTATGTTACACATAGGAAAAGAATATTAATTTGCATGTTTTACTATGATTGATTTTTCTTTTTACAAGAAAATACATTATAGAACTAGATCCTTTAGACCAACGGTTCTCAACTTTTTGAGTTCGCGACCCCCTTTAATGTCCCCAAGGTCTAATGACCCTTTTGTAATTTTGCATTGAAAAGTTTTACAAATTATTATTATTGTATTTATTTGTGTATACATTTTATTAAAAAATTGATTAGCGTTAATTAATAGAAAAAATAAAATAAAATATAAATTATGCAAATTTAAATATTTTTTTTTATTTAATGACTCTTTTACTGTTGTTGATTTGAAATAATATTTTTTTCATCCTAAAAAATTGTTGATGCCCCCCAAGGGGGGTCGTGACCCCCTGTTGAGAATCGCTGCTCTAGGCAATGGCAAAGGGACCTTGTTCTTCCCCTATTATCTAGACTTTGGTTTGTTTTGAAATAGTTACAATGTAAAAATTAAAAATAACACATTTTAATAAAATTATTTTAGGAACAAATTTATAAAGTTTCTAGATTATCATATCGCTAATATAACTAAAAAACCAACTGATTGACGTAATTATATTAAAAATGAATCTATATAGAATGTAGATTTTATACATGTTATCCTACTGTTAAATAATATACAACTGTTGTAATATACCATTAACATTTTTTAACAGCAGCTAAGTTTACTTTCACATGTCAATTTTACTTTTGATTTTTATAAAGTACTGAGGTAATAATTATTTATTACAATACTATTGAAATAATGAATTCAATTTTATATACATAAATATTTTTATTTGAATAACCTACTATGTTATAATATATATATGATAAAAAATTAGAATGTATTAAGTATTTACAATATGGTGTAATAAATATCATGAATCTTCAGCATGTTTAACTCTAGACAGTGCTAAATATGAAAGTTTAGTTTTATCATCATACCATCCAATTGGACCAATTTCACAATCAGCGCATATGAGATATTTAAGACCAAATTCCACAGTTTTTGAGAAGCCAATATTATCAAACATAAACATATCTGGTACCATCCAATAATCAGACAACAGTTCACATTCAACTGATTCAAAATTTTTTCTTTGAGACATGTATGGAAGATTGAACTACAAAATACAAGCAATTAATATAGAATAAACATTAATTAATTTAAATTGTCACTTGAATTTTTGAATGCTTTCCCATTGTAGATGACAAAATCTTGGATGGGCATTTCGTACAATAAACAGTGTGCTTGTTCTTTTCTTCAGCTATCAGATGATCATAGTTATTTTTAACTTCAATTGTTTTCTCTTCTTCTGTCATCTTAATAATATGAATCGAATATAGTAAACAGAAATTAATTTTAAGGTAAATTTATAAAAGAGCAGTTATGCATATACATTCATAATATATTAATATTAATTAATTTAAATATCGTTTTAGACTATTATATGTCTATGGATGGGATCAACATTTTTCTTATCATTATTTGCGGTTCTTTGATGATAATACTTTTGATAAAGTGCTAAAACAATAACACATTGTGTAATACTATGAATTATTTTTTTAAATATATTAATATTTAGTCAATGGATTAACCATATGTTATCCATGATGTTAAGATATTTTTAATAAAACCGAATTGGATGCATGACAAATAATATACCTATAGTATAATTCGAGACTAGAATCTTCATTCTTAAATACTCTTGAAAATTTTATGATGCTTCGTGGATTGCTCAAACAATAAAATTAACAGCGCCACATATAGAAGGTATACATATACCGTCTTATGTCTGTACAAATAAAATTTAATATTAAATATAATAGACATTAGACAGATCAATATTTGTGGATCGGAAACAAATAAGTTGTAACTTATGATTTTTTCAAAAAATTTTCCATCCAATGTTGGTTTTGAGTATTATTTTAACTGATGTGTGGATACAAACCGTTAGAACTTTAATGTCTTTTGTGTAACAAAACAACTGAAACAAAATACAATTTGACCATTTTAAGTGGCGCGCAAAGGGAAATAATAAGCTGATTTATTCTTCAACTTATAAATACTTACTATTGCCTCGATTACATCGGGCGAATTTAGTAACAGCGAGTAAATTCGTCCAATATAGTCAAGATATAATGCAATAATATAATAAACAGCTTATTTTTGAGTACAGCAAAAATCACCGCCGATTTCTTTAATGGCATTTACGTGGTATTAACATCGACCATGGTAATCAGTTAAATGTATCGTATCATATTATGACGTGTTATCACGATAAGAAAAAAACACTTGTGAAATAATTGCTTTCTTATTATTCTTACAGATTTAAATCTGAAATACTAAATAGCTTAACATAATTTTAGTGCTCTACTATAAACGGTTTTGGTAATTTAAGATTATTCATTATTGATGTTCAGTTAAATAAGCCACTTTTCATTTTCGGATTCTGTCGTGATAAGTATGTGAGTGTTCATATATGTTTTTTATGTTCAAAATATTAGACACAATAATGTTGTACAAAAAAATATTTTGCTGGTATTTTATTAACACAAATATATGTCATATATTTTTTTAGTCAGAATGTCGTCCATCGAACAGCCTTGTTACACTTTGATCAATATCTCTAGTGATTATGAAATGCCAAATGAAATGCAACTCAAAGCAGATCTTGGTTTGAACTTAAAATTATGATAATGTAAGGTATTATTAATAACTATTTATTTTGGTTTAAATTTAGAAAAAGGAGATAGCAAAACAAAAATTGAAGCATTGAAAAAAGTCATTCATATGATAGCAAATGGAGAACGCTTACCAGGATTATTGATGATAATAATCAGATTTATTTTACCACTTCAAGATCATACAATTAAAAAACTTCTTTTAATATTTTGGGAAATTGTACCAAAAACTACAGCTGATGGAAAACTATTGCAAGAAATGATATTAGTTTGTGATGCATATCGTAAGGTAAATACAATAATGAATAAGATAAAAGTTTAATTAATTTAATTAAATTTTTTGTGGTAAGATGACTTAATTAAATTTTTATTTTTGATATATTTTCTTAATTATTGCAAATAATTACATTCTTACATCTGTCAATCTTACTAAATAAAATTCCATACTATAAAGATTACAAATTTTGTATCTTGTACCAAAATTGTAATTAAATATGTATTTGTATTTTTAGAAAACTATTTTGAACATTTATAAATTATTTAAACTTTTCCTTTGCTTTTTAAGGATTTACAACATCCAAATGAATACTTAAGAGGATCAACTCTTCGTTTTTTATGCAAATTAAAAGAACCAGAATTATTAGAGCCATTAATGCCCACTATTAGAGCATGTCTTGAACATCGTCATTCTTATGTTAGACGTAATGCTGTACTTGCAATATTTACTATTTATAGGTAATTTAAATTTGTATACATAGTTAAACTAATTATTTTTAAACATTAAATATTAAAATGTTTTACTATTTTCTCTCTTGGACGCATCCATGTCTTGAGAAATGTGCTGAATTTTCAGATCTATTGCAGGTTTCAATTTTGGAAAACAGTAATCCCTCGTTATCTGCGGAGATTACATCCCAGCAAATTTGCATAAATAATGAGACCGCAGATAAAAAGACCATCAATCCTTTTAATTTTTCCCCTTCTCACTTTACATTTCAATTCATGTAAATATGCTCGGGTCATTCTTGTGATCTTTCTTGGTATCCCCATTTGGTCCATTACTTTCCATAGTCTTCTTCTGTTCACTTGATGTGGCTTATCTGCAATTAGTATATATATATATATATATATATGTATATATATATGTATGTATATATGTATGTACATCGTTTTTCATACATAATTGTTGTTATACCTAGAAATATAATAACAATTATCTACAATTGTCAAAAATAAATTATCTACAGTGTTCGTGTATTAACGATAAAACATTATCGCATCAATAACATTTTATTGTGGATCTAACCGTGGTTAACAAGGGATTACTGTATAATAAAAAACTACTTAATGGTTTGAAATATCAGCAGACTAATAAAAACTTGATTATATCTAAAAAGATATATATATATATATATATTACATAAATTCATGAAAGCTTTTAACACTTTATTAATTATATTTTGCTTAATAGGAATTTTGAATTTTTGATACCTGATGCACCTGAACTTATTGCTAATTTTCTTGATGGAGAACAAGATATGTCTTGCAAACGTAATGCTTTTATGATGTTGTTACATGCTGATCAAGACAGAGCACTTGCATATCTTGCTTCTTGTCTAGATCAAGTTGCTTCTTTTGGTGACATTCTACAACTAGTTATTGTAGAACTTATATATAAAGTAAGTTAATCCTTTTTAGGTCATAACATGTTAACTAACTATACCTGTGAAATTAGGTGTGCCATGCAAATCCGTCAGAACGTTCTCGCTTCATTCGTTGTATATATAATTTACTAAATTCTAGTAGTCCGGCTGTTCGATATGAAGCTGCTGGAACGTTGGTCACTTTATCAAATGCACCTACTGCTGTGAAGGTATATTTAATTAATAAAAATGTAAATAAAAATACAATAACTGAAATTATAGGCAGCAGCTTCATGTTACATTGAACTAATTGTCAAGGAAAGTGATAATAATGTAAAACTTATTGTTTTGGACCGCTTGATTGCTTTAAAAGATCATCCTTCTCATGAAAGAGTACTACAAGATTTGGTTATGGATATATTAAGGGTATTGTCTAGTACAGACTTAGAAGTTAGGAAAAAGACATTGAATTTAGGTAATTGTCTATACTGCTTTTTATTCTTTATAATTAATGGTTATAATTTGTTTTTATATTTTTGTTTAGCTTTGGATCTGGTATCATCACGTAACATAGAAGAAATGGTTTTTGTACTTAAAAATGAAGTAGAAAAAACTCATAATTTAGCTGAACATGAAGATACTGGGAAATATAGACAATTGTTAGTGCGCACCCTTCATACTTGTTCTATAAAGGTTTGTTTTTAGTACAAATAGTTTTGAATGTTAACAATTTAACTTATTTGATGTTTTTAGTTCCCAGATATTGCTGCAACAGTGATACCTGTTCTTATTGAATTTTTGTCAGATAGTATAGAATTGGCTGCCACAGATGTTATGGTATTTTTGCGTGAAGCAATATATCTCTTTGAATCATTGCGTCCTCTCATAATTCAGCATCTATTAGAAGTTTTTCAATCCATTAAGTCGGCCAATGTTCATAGAGCTGCATTATGGATTCTTGGAGAATTTGCTAACTCACAAGAAGACATTGAAGCTACAATTGAACAAATTAAAATATCACTTGGAGATGTATGTTTTTAATTTCAGTTATTTCATTATATTTAAAAAAATATATACATAACTATTAATACAACTATTTGGGAAACCAAACAAATTTCTAACTAAAATATTTTAAACTCCATAAAACATTTAAAACTATTGTTGTGTTAGTAATATAAATAATTTTCTTTATTAATCTCAATGTTATACAGTATATATGGTTAACTTTTAATATCATTATATTATTTTATTTGTTAGACAAAAATAATTTAAATATATATATTTTTATGTTGTAGGCTATAATTCTAAAAAAAAAAAAATAATATTTAAATGGTTGTAATAATTATTTACTGTTTAGTTTAATGATTTTATTTTACTATAGATGCCTTTAGTTGAAGATGAGTTGAAAAAAGCAGCTGGAGATACAGAAAATATTGAAGAATTCGGATCAAGTGGTTCACAGTTGGTTACATCTGATGGCACATATGCTACTCAATCAGCATTTATAACAAATACTCCTCGAAATAATCAATCTAAAAGACCTCCATTACGGCAATATTTAATTGATGGAGATTATTATATTGGTGCAGCATTGGGCACTACTTTTACTAAATTAGGCATTAGATATGCTGAAATTTGGGAAGGACAAGATCCAATTAAGGCCAATCAATTTTGTGTCAATCTAATGTTAATTCTGACTTACATTTTAAGGCTTGGAAAATCAGGTAATTAAATAATTTATATTAATTAATTTATTATTAATATCAGTTATTATATGAATAAGTATTTGAAATAATTATGTTGGAAGACTATTAATGGTTAGTCTTTTTATTTGATGGTTATTTTATTTTATAGAACTTTTTATCAATTTTCAGTTGACAATATTTTTCAAAATGTATTATATGTAAAATTGCTTGTTATGTTAATATATCATATATAATTATATTACTTGAAAATTTATACTAGTTTTTTAGTTTTTCATATTATATTATTTTCAACTTACATATACTGCGGGCATGACTGTTAAAAAATAAACAATATGCATTTAATCTTTATTTAGGAATTTGTTCAAAACCAATTGGTATTGATGATGAAGATAAGATTTTGGAAAGTATTAAAATATTGAATAATAGAGATACTGAAATTGAAAATATTTATCTCCAAGAATGTAGTAAATCATTGAATGAAATGTTGGCTGCTAAAGTGGATGAAGAAAGTAGTAACAAAAAAGTTAGTATTTGAATACAATTTATAGAAATTTTTTTTTTTTTTACTTATTTGCTAAAAATTTTACTATTTTAAAGCTAAAGAAAAACCAGGACATAAGGTAAATGTAGATGATGCTATTGTATTTTTGCGAACAAGCAGTAATGGTACCGAAGGTACCGAAAATGTATTCGAACTTAGCTTAAATCAGGCAGTTGCTGGTGGTAGTTCTATTCATCAAAGTAGTGGTGATGGCGCATCAGGTCTTTCAACCAATAGCAAACTGAATAAAGTTACTCAACTTACTGGATTTTCTGACCCAGTTTATGCTGAAGCTTATGTACATGTAAATCAATATGATATTGTTTTAGATGTGTTGATTGTTAATCAAACAGGTAAAAAAAAAAGGTATTAAATTTAAGATATGAATAATTTATGATTTTTTAATAATAGGTGATACATTGCAAAATTGTACTCTTGAGTTAGCAACAATGGGAGATCTGAAATTAGTAGAAAAACCACAACCTGTAGTTTTGGCTCCTCATGATTTTTGTAATATTAAAGCCAGTGTTAAAGTTGCTTCTACTGAAAATGGCATAATTTTTGGCAATATAGGTAAAATATTTAAAGTTTTTTCTTATAAATATTGTATAAATTATTTGTTATTTACTTGTCCCAGTTTATGATATTGGCGGTGCAATTGGTGATCGCAATGTGGTTGTATTAGATGACATTCGTATAGATATAATGGATTATATAATGCCAGCTATATGTAATGATTCCGAGTTCCGTCAAATGTGGACAGAGTTTGAATGGGAAAACAAAGTATAGTTTCTTATGTTATATTCGTGTACACATTTTTCAATTTTGGATTCGTTTAGGTTTCTGTTTCTACAAGTTTGACCGATCTCAATGAATACTTGGCTCATTTATTAAAGAGCACCAACATGAAATGTCTGACTCCTGAAAAAGCATTATCTGGACAGTGTGGATTTATGGCGGCAAATTTATATGCAAGATCAATATTTGGTGAAGATGCACTAGCAAATTTGAGTATTGAAAAAGGAATAGATAAACCACAAGTTAGTGGTCATATTCGAATTCGAGCTAAAAGTCAGGTAATTACATATCTAAGTTCTAAAATGATACATTTATTGTTAGGATGTATTTAAGCTGTTAATAATTGAATTGTCAATTTTGTAAATTTGATATTAAATTAATGTAATAAATGGGGGCATTACAATTGTAGCCAAGCTGATTTAGATGAACGTGTCTAAATTCACAGTCGTTGAATTTTCAAGTGAGATTACTGTTTGAGGAGTTCCTAGAGTTTTCACTCCCTTCTAAAAACTAGTTAATTGTGACCTAATAATAACTGTCTAGATAAAAATATTTGCTGATAAAAAATATTAATGTTTATTTTGTATTCGTGTAACATATTTTTGTGTCATTAATTAATAATGCAGTTTTTAGTTTATTTAATATTAAAAACAAAACAATATATTTATCATACATAGTACATATGCAACAAATAATATTTAATTAGTGAATAATTCTATTTAAGTCATAAATGAGTAATGTTGTTTACAATTTCATTGACTATATACAAAAGTATTTTATTATGTTGAAATATGTGTTGATGGCTATTGTGTTCTTAAAATATAAAAGATTATTTAAATTCTAGGGGAAAAAAATGTAATTGTTTTAGAATTTTTACGTTTTTATTAGTACAGAAAAGTGAAGAAGTATGAATGTTAACTTTGAATATAAATTATTTTATAGTCTTATAATAATAATTTGAAATTCATGATTGTAATTTGTTAAATTGTGAAATTTTATTTCAGGGTATGGCACTCAGTCTTGGAGATAAAATAAATATGATGCAAAAGCGACCATACAAAGCAGTTGCTGCCTAAGTTAGACAAACTTAAACAGACAGTTGCTGATTTAATTATAAAATTTTTATCCTAAGTTAATCATTATTACTTTATATTTGGTATTGTATTCTTAATTTTATATTATTAATGCACATTTATTTAGGAAATATTTTTTGTTTATATTTTGTCATTTATTCAAATATTTAAAAATAACAATGTCATTGTTTATTTATGGAATTTGTAGTATTTATTTATTATGTGTTTTGCGTCATATTTAATGTATTGTTCTGAAAACACATAAAAAAGTAATAAAATCAAATAAAAAGAATTTAAAATGATAAGAAATATTATTTAAGTTGCTTATTCATGGATATGGGTATCATACTATCTTGTGAATTAGTAGTGAGTACATGTGAATATTAACTTTAAAGATCATAGAATAGAACTAAAATGATAAAATTTGTAAGTTATTTTGAAAAGATTAATCATAATTTTACTTTAATTATTTAATGGGATTTTAGATGATTTTTACTTTAGTAACTATCATGTTTCTGGTGGAATCGATAGAATCATGTGATAAATTGGGTATAAAAAATATAATTGTCACTATTTGTGGATTGAAAAAACGTTCATCCAATTTTAACAATGTCTGGCCAGTGTTGCCTTTGAGATTTGCAAGTGATATTGAACAAGAATATCAAAAGATGGTTGACGACTTTGACGAGGAAGATTTACTCATAAAAATATCGGATGAGAAAAAACCCAGAGGTAATTAATCATGTATTATTCTATTATAGTATGTAAAAAAATCAAGTGTGTTGACCATGTGTACAAAAAAATATATTGGTACATTTCTAAATGATAAATAATTAATTACTCTTATTCCAGACTTTCTTACTAGTGATGAAGGTAGTTACGTTATATTTTAAATTTATGTGTTTATAAGATTTTAATTAATTTAAAAATAATATTTAAGTCTGTAAATAATTTTTATTTGTTAGGCAGTAGATTTGCTACAAAAGTTTTTAAATTATACTTTTTTAAATAGGAAATTATTCCCAAAGTATTTTGAAATTTCTTGTAAAATATCATACTTTCGTCCAGTGGTGTGTTGAAAGGATTTTTATTAGGTTAGATTAGGTTTTTTTTATTTTTTTTTTTAAAGCTTTTATTGGCCATTGAGGCCCTTCGCCGCTTCTACTAAGCCTCTCCATCGGTCTCTGTTGTTTGCATCTTCAATTATTGCGGTTTCATCTACTTACATTAGGTTAATCTTTCTTTACCCGATTTATCCAACGTTGACGTGATTTTCCTCTGGGGCGTGTTTTATTCGGTTTAGATACCACAACTTGTCTCATTTGGCTGTCCTTATCTCGCTATATGTGACCGGCCTATTCTAGTCTCTTTGAGGCAAAATATTTTTGGATACTTGATCCATTAAAGATTCTTTCAATATTTTCATTAGCTAGGTTAAATTTATTAGATTAGGTTTAGTACAATTTATTTCACAGGTAACCTACTAATACGTGAATTTTTTTTAAATGTACTGAAATATGAACTTATATTCTAAAAATCCTAAAACATACATTTATAAACAAACAGCAATGGAACTTGAAAATATTTCACAGATCGCAGCATCCTTATGAAATAAGTATTAAAATATTGGGGTGCATTATTATTCGTAAATATTTGTCTCGCCATTGTGTACTAAATTACGTATACCTATGTTTAGTAGTTGTTCTTAATTTGTATGCAGTGTTGCAAGTATTAATTTTTTGCCCCGATACATAGTTTTTAGAGACAATACAATTTTGAAAGCTTTGTCACATTTTTACGTGTTTACAACTCAATTTTATTGTCTTGACCTTACTTCCAATAAAAGTTTAATAACGTTCACTCAATATTGTTTTTTTTTCACAAAATTTTAAATATTTCTTTACAAATAATTTTTCTATAAACACCAATGATGGTTATTTTAAATTAATATGAAATATAAGGTTACATAAAATACATTTAATTATTTTATATTCAGGCTGGTCATGGATGCAAGAATCAACCATTGAACTTTATGGTATTGGATAGTGAAAGATAATCACTCAATAGTTCGCGACACCAAGTTCGTTTTAGGCATTTTCTAGGGTTAGCTGGGATAGTTCATAAATGAAAGGGTTACGATAGTTGTGGATACTAGAATGTAAGTGCTTGTAGAATGTTTAATTAATGTTGTGGATTGTTAGAGTGGCAATATTAGAAACGTAGAACGAGGTCTTAGTTATTTGGCGTAATTAGATTGAAACATTTGAATTTTGTTGGTTCTTGAGAGTTTTACGACTCTCTATAACTGGATATCCTAAGCTAAATTTAGTTTGAGAGTGGTTTATCTAATATAAGTTTATCATTGATTTTAATGTACCTATAGTTATATGAGAAAATGGCGTATTTATCAAAAACGGTGTTTTAAAACGAGGCGTTTGATATTGGTATAATTAGCTCAGGTTTACCAGTGGTCTAGGTGTAGTCCTATATATCAAACGTAATAAGCAGGTAGAAAAGATGTTGAGATCAATGAGAAGACAATCTCTTCGCCTTATTATTAATGTGTTATAGATGGATTTTGTCTCGTTGAATTCTATCTCCTACTCTTTTTTTCCAAATTTATAATTGGTTTAGGTGATTTTTATGAAGTCTGAGGTGACTTGGTTAGGTTACTAATTACTCTAGCGTGAATTGGAGATTTTTTAAAATAAGAAAATCCTTTTAGTACAGTGAAATGTATGTTTTCTAAATAAGATTTAAATAATTGATAAAAGTTTTTGGGAAGAATAGATTTCAGTTAGAATAAAAGGCCTTTACTCCATACTCTATCAAGGTATGGGCTACGTTTAAGAAAACATCTGTACGTAATAAGTTTTTTCTAGTGTGAAAAATATTTTATTGATTAGACGATGGACTTTTGTATATTGCCGAAAGACCGTGATGAAATCCACAGCTATTGTTATGTAGGTTAGTTCCGTTGAGAGGAAAGATACTTTTTAACATAAGTTTTTCAAAAATCTTTGAAAATCATGGAAGAAGGCTAATAGGTCTGTATGATTTAGAGGAAGTCAGAGGGTTTTTTCAAGCTTATAGATTATGATAATCACAGAAAATGTCTATTAAGTCCGGGAAGTGTGATAGCTTTTACATATAGATTTATACGTATGTCAAGAAAAATCAGGTTTTTTTAGGAGAAATGGAATTGCCATCTCTGCTGTAATTAATTTATGACATGGGGTTTTGCATCAACCCGAGTTTCGAAAAGCATCCATTTCGCTTGGTCGAATGTGTTTATACGAGTAAATGAAAAAGATCTCTATCACATCAATGTAAATTAACAAGATAAGAAACAGTGTATTTTTTAAATATGGCTTAGGCAAAAATGTTACTGTTTGCATAGGTATCCGCAGACCTTGCTGGAAGGAGAGGTAATATATATGTGAGTGTTGCCCAATATTAATTATTCAATTATATTGTAGTTTATATAAATTAATACGTGGACACAGCACACGCAATATTTATAAATTATTTATTATAGAAAATTATATTATATTTTTTTTAACTACGGGAGAAAAATTCAACCCGTAGAAGGAGCAGCTTCCCAACCTGCTCATCCCATGCACACGCCTATAACTATGTGGTTGGAAAGTAGAATAGAGATGATGGCAAAATATGTTTATGTAGGATCTGTCATTTTTTTTCTGAGGAAATACTGATGATTAAGATTGAAGAGTTTTTCTTATGGTTTACCAGAGTGAGTTGTTGCTAAAATATAAGGTGTCTGATGACGTTTTTTTATTTAATAAAATCTTTTAGTTTATTTGTTTAGTTTTTGAATTTTTGTTCAACGGAAGCACATTATGTAATCTACCAGGTAGTGTGTGCTATTCGTTTTTATTAAATGAGAACTCTAATATTTAGGGGAAGATTTTTCGTGTGATTTTTAGGCGGCGTAGTGGCAGAACAGGATCATATTATTTCTTGCATTAATTTGGTTAGAACAGATAGCTCCAACCTTTTTTTTATGACGGGCTAAATTTGAAATACGTTTTGGCATCACAGACCAAAATTTTTATTGAATAATAGAGAGATAATGAGATTTAAGAATATATAAGAATAGAAAAAGTTGGAGATCCTGGGTTAGAAGGTTAACATATTTGTGTAGATATCGGGAGGGAATTTTAAGCTAACATTGAGAGTTGTTTGATTTTCAAAGTTTGATCGAGCAGTATAGTTAGTTATTAATTTTTAAAAAAGTATTTAGTTTCATTAAAATTATTAGCCTTGTTATTTAGAAATCTTACAGTAAAATATTATACGTTTTTCAATTATCCTGTGCCCTTAAATTATCTTTGGCACTACATTTTACAAATTATGTTTTACGTTTGCGTAGTGCATACGCGTAATTATTTGAGGACTGTCCAATCACATATTTATTTAGAGAATTTGTTGGTATTCTTATTACCGACGTTGATCTCAATTTATCGTTTTTAAAAATTGTATTTAAACCCACATTGTACATCCGGTATTTTAATTTATGATAATATTATAATCAATATAATTTATTTGAATAAAATGATCAATATTACGCATTATCTGCAATCATTTTGGTTTCAATTAATGCGTTTAATCCACACTCTGCCTGTAGTTAAGGTCAAGAATATATTTAGGGGGGGGGGCTTACCATCACCCCGGGTGATACATTTTTTTGGAATTAAAGAGTGGCAGCATTTTTTTTGCAACCATAATCCATCATATATTTTCATTCATTAATTGAAAAATTTTAATATTTTAAGATTTTGCAAAGTGACCTATGGCGATTTTCATTTTCATGATAATATTATCAAATGTTGATCGCGTAAAATCCATAGATAATAAATAGTACCTTTCTTGAAAATCGTATAAAACATGTGTAGGTGTGGCAATAAAACTGTACATGGGGCGTCAAAACTCTAAATAGATCTCTGGTTAATGTCCGTAAGTGTATTTTAAAGTACTCGTGCTTTAATTTGAATATTCTTAACTTAAAAGTTGACTTTAAAATCATTAAGACAATAATTTTATAGTATTCCTATATTTTAATGTTCGATCTATATTATATAAGGATTTTAGTTTAAGATTTGTTATATATAATCGTAACTTTTTATCAGACGTTATTTTACAAACAAATTTGTTAAACTCTTAAAAATATTCTTCTGTTTAAAGTTTATGGGCTCAATTATAAATCTAATAAAAACGCCAACATATATTTTCAATATCTAGTGTGATTTTACTATACTGCAGTATACGTTAGATTGACAAAGAAAACTAAACATGATCTGATATCCTCTTTATGTTATTATTTCGGTTGGAAATATAAACATTACAAATTAATTCATCATACGAGAGTGCAAACAATTTTGTTCTATATTATTTTATGAATGCAGTTCTAATTTATATACATGTATGTTATATTTAAATTTAAAAATAGTTATATTTATATTCTAAACCATGATATTCAATCTAAATGTCCACACATAACTTGCACGCATAATTCGTTGTTATATTTTAATCTGAAAATTTCTCTCTCTGGAAGAGAAATTATTTCTTCTTCTAAAAAGATTCTTTTAAATCTCAAGTTCATATTTGAACATAATAGTGTAAATATTTTATTATTTGTATTTTTAAACCATAATATTCGTATAAACACGTCACTGTATCGTATATATTTTATATGTATAATTATTTGTTTTAGAATCTACTGTTAAGCCTCAGCGTCCAAGTCACTTATCGGTTTACTCGGATAGAATGCGTAACAGAATAGTTCCAAGACGTCAATCGAGTATAATGTTGACGTTACCATGTGTTTATCATTGTTTAATAAAACGCTTCGTTTTCAGACCAGGACGTCAATAAAAACAGCGTTAGAAATGTGGATCAATTTCAAAAGATTATCCAAGAGTGCTGCATCAGAAAGTGCACCATCGAAGATATCAGAGGTTTTTGCGATAAGAAATGAACAAATGTGTACAATTTTAACATATTTTGTTTTATTAAATTATGTATGGGTAATTATTATCAGTACGTATACACAAATAATAGTCATATAGTCATAATATTTTTTCTAATATATACCTATGTTCCATACAATGGAAAGTATATATATATATATTGCCGTAAAATCACAGACTTGTTTTATAATAATTTTTTAAAAATTGTTATTAATTACCCACCGACAATCTTATCGTGGACTAAAATTGTGCAAACTTAACACAGGAACGAATGACTTATTATATTATATAAACACGCTTATTATACTTATAAAATAAATTAAAATTAATACCAGACTTGATATTTTGTTTTTAATTCTTCGTTTTCCAGGCGCACACATAGGTAGTAGGTATGTATATAATAAAAAGAAAATTCTATTAAAACGAAACGTGATTAAAAAACCAAACAGTGTTAGAAATTTAGATGTTTTGAAAGTCAAAATAGAAGACGAGCAGCAATTATTCCCGAGTTTCAGTGTTGCGTTTTAGTAATGATGACCGATGGCATTTTGTCAAAATATGGTGTTACAGTTTTCACTCGTCCTGGTACCAGATCCTGGACGATCATCGGCTGGAAGATAAACCAAATGCGTTATTTAAATATATGAATATAATTACGCATGCAAAAATATACCATAATAATAATATTAATAATAATAACAGTTCTAATAATATATATTGTTCGTACACGTATGTATAAATATATTTGTACATAATATTATATAAATACATATAAGTGTGCGAGATAACACAAAAATTTCGCATGCAAAATTTTAAGTTTAAAAACGTGTTATAGCACCGAGCGCCGCCACAGCGATCCTGATTGGACATTTTATAATTTACAAATATTGTATTATGTAGATATATACACATTATTATTGTATGTATACAGAGCGGTAGAATTGATATTGCAGCTTACTTCTTTCTTTGGGATGTGCGGAATCGTGTTGTACTTAATGTTGTTTTGCCTACTGAGCTCTTTAGAATTAGATATAATACTATTGGATTTGGTGATTTTGGTAGTCGTATACTCAACCAGTAGATTGTTGTCTACTACGTCTTGTCTTTGGGACAGTGTATTACTCGTGGGGTTTTTCTGGGGTTTTGCGATTTTGTCTACAGAGGGTTTCTCTACGGACGGATCCAAAACGCTCCAGATACCAGACCTGTAAATTGTAATAATATACGTTTTTTAGAATCGACGCTAACGTTTCTCACGTCCGGTTGGTTAGACAGTATAAAAAAATTAAAAAATTATAATCATAAATATGTATTTATAATAATCATGATGAAATCAGTGTAAAATGTAATGAAATAAATTGGAAGCAATAAATTCGAAAATGATAATAAATCATTGCTTGTTTTTGGTGCTGTTAATAGATTTCTACTCGTCCGCAGAGTAAATGTGAATTAGAAGAATAGATGTGAATGAAATAGTTGTTGATGATAATGAAAAAAATTGAAGCCAACTAAATACTCAGTTATGTATAATGTACTGAAATGAAAACTTGAGGCTAATCTGACGTGACATATACTATTATGTATATATATATATTATAAGACAGCCAAGTGTTTGTGACGTTTTAAGGTGGTATGGGTGAATATGAATATTATATATGTATATAGTGGACGGTCAAAAGATTACAAATTAACCCATCAGAATCATGTTGATGTGGCATTTTCGTGTTAAAAATATCGTGTTTGTTGTTAGTAAACTCTATGAATATATTTAATGAATAAAATAATTGTATTAATCATTGAATTGGGTGGCGGGTATATGTATGTAATTGTTTTAGTGGGAGGGAATCATTTTTTCCCTCCAGATCCACATACTTGTAAAACAATCATTGAATAACAAATAAATATAATATTTATTGAGAACTAAATTTCATTAATTTAATATTTTAATAATTATTTTCGCATACTATAATAACTATATTATAAAGCCTATCATGTATACAATCTATTGTGGTTGTACGGTTTTTGTTTCATAAACGGGTGTGGGAAACCGCATAAAATAATATTGGTATTCGATTTCGTTTACGGGCTATCGAACAATTGAGAACGAATTTATGTGCAACGTTGCCATAGTTTGCCATATAATTTATTTGACTTTTGAAAAATTCAGTAAACATACAATAAATATTCTTGAAAAAAGTCATAAACTAATAATTATAATCGTATACAAATAAGTGCCTAATAATATGTAATATATAATATGAATAAAAAATTAAAAATATGTAGGACTTATAAAAATATCTAATACCTGTATAGTGTATATATGTATAAAAAACTTATAAAATAATGAAATATATATGTATAAAAATAAAATAATTATAAACATAAATGTAAAAATTGTAAAATATGTAGAACTCATAAAAATATCTAATACGAATAGATGAATAGTTTGTGCGACGACTGTAAAGCCTAACCGTTATTTTCTCGTATCTGGTATCTTACATCCATCTAATCCGATAAAAGTCCGAGAAATATCAACAGATTGTTGTGCTCATATTATCGATCGATTACATTTAGCAACGTTGGAAAAAAAAAAATTCAGCGTTCTTAATCGTATTTTACCGCGTTTACGAGTTATGTTTTTATTAGTATAGTAGATAATAAACTGATACGGATTCATGTACTAATATAAATTGTAACAATTGCAGTGCCTTCGCGTCCAGTGCTATTGTCTTCTTGGTAACATACAAAATGACAAACAAGTAGTATTTTGTAACAATAGTCCAGGAAATAAAAGAAAAAATAAACGCATGCAATCGGTCCTGCGTTTGCGTTACGGCAACAACGAGAATGAAATGTTGTAACGAGGAAGGATAGTATGTATTATTGTTAGTTGTGTAAACTTCCTGCCCAGCAAATACAATATATGATAATATCTCTCGCTTCAGCTACATAATACGTATATTTTTTTAGAAATATTTTCTTTTCCTATAACGATAATATCGCGTTTAACACGGAAACGTTAACGCGAGATTTTTACATTATGTTTAATTATTTGGAAGATGCCGCCTGTTATACCATTGTAGTAGTTGTATACTATACTTACAGCTACAGTATACAGTAAGGGATGGCGAAACTTAGTATTTGCGCGACGAATAAAAATTGAATAGAGCAGCTGACGTGACAGCATAAAACGATTTAAAAATACACACATTTACAACTATTTATTTTTATACTTAAAATAATTTACTATCATAATCCATACATTCAGGGGCGTATTTAGGAGGGTGATATGGGTGTTAGAACACCCCCCCCCCGTCGACCATATTCTATGGTATTTCATTAAATTACAAACTTGCAGTATAATTTGAATAAACGTTGTACACAACTTGTTGATTTTACATACACTGTCTTAACACAGTCATTTAAATAATAATTTATATAAATACATGGTATTTATTAATGTAATGTAGGAGGGCAATAGAGCTTTCCACTTACCATAAGTCTATTAAATTTTAAAACACCCCTGTTAAATGAATCCTGAATACGCCATTGCATACATTATACGAACAAGTGATTCGAAAATTGATAATTATAAATTACTTTTAATGATAACTTTTTCTTATTTAGATTTTTATTTAAAAATTCTGAAGTACAGATATGAACTATATTTAAGTTAGCGTATCACTAAAATTGTATTCTCGTGTCACTCTATACATCGTGTGTTCGCCATTCCTGCTATATACAAGCACCATATGCGAGGCCAATAAGTGTTATAGCACATTGATTATTCGTAGCCGTGAGCATTATGTTATTAGTATGAAATATTATGCATAAAATATTATTATGATGTTATTGATGAGATATTCGTTTATTTTTGTCAACTGTTATTAAAGCCATTACCACGAGTGGAAACATAGTGAAATTACGAATAAACAATAATCGAAAAGCGTACAAGCCCGTATACTATGCAGAGTGATTGTTTAACATTGATTTATACATGTTAGGTACCTTTGATTTCCCCAACAGTAAGATTTTAGGTGATGTGGAGTGCAAGTGTTCTCGCAGCACTCCTCTACTATTGGTACTCTTTTTCGTCGTCGGCTTGGAACGGTAACATCTGAAACGGAAAATATTTAATCAGTACTAAACGTTCAAGGATTTCGTAATACCTATAGTTATCATTGTTAATTTTTTGTTATAAAATAGTTCAAATACACTATATTTATATGTACATGTATGTATGTATGTATTTGGGTCTAGTTGGTTCGAACCGCAATTTAATCTTCAATAAATAGATTATCAACGTATAAAATAAATAAATATAGATGTAGATTCAATTTCCGAGCCCTGGGGGGAGGGGGATTCATTTTTTCCCGGTTTGTTATTACACACTCTGATCTCCTTCCCTTAGAAATAATCACCGGTCATCACCCGGTTTCTACGTAACGTGCAGCCTAAGTGGTCCGGTGCTGCGCGTTTGCGTGGGCGAGTGCAGTGAATTTTTTTGACTGGTTAACTGGGCGACACAAACGTCGCCTAGTTGATAGTATTTCGAAAGATCGGGCTAAAAACACAATTAATTGTCAAGAGAAGATTTAAAAAAAAAAAAAATAATCAGGGGTGACAGATAAATCTGTGTACAATGTATTTTCATATTATCGATGTTTCATCAGTCAACCAGCATTAAGATTTGTTTTTAATAATCATGCGGATCGAAAGTGAAATCGAACACTGCCATCGTACGTCGACCGTTTTGAGGGAAAATCGTTTGTCGTCCAGTGAAAATTCCTTAAAGAATGCACTTCATGTGACACATTCATATTCAGGGTCACCCGTGTACCTTGGAAGAGTGGTAGGGGGGGGGGCGGTGAGTGAAACAAGTGAAAACCGTTTCGCGGTCGTTCTGCAGCCGATCGCCGCCGCCGCAACCGTCACCGGAGGCCACCACAGCATTAAGACGCTGTAAATGTGATTTCAGTACTGTAAACGGCGTTTGGCAATAGGAGGCATAAGCATCCGGTGATGCGATCGGGAGAGGAAAGTTCAGGAGGATTTGTTTGCAAACCAACGACTTTTTTGTGCATAAAGTGATAATAAGATAGTATTTCGATTATCGTATGGCGCGAATTGTTTATAAAACTCTCCCCCTCTCCCCGAATATCAAACACTATTCGCGCTTTTGATGATAAAGAATGTTTAACTGCGCGTGTGATTGAGTTGCAATCTTTTTAAATTTCTCGAGTGGCGTAATGTTCGTAAGTGATTGACAAAGAAACTATGAAAGTAATATTTGTTTTATAGAGGTACCTAAGAATTTTAGGTGTAGGAAATATGTACTCGATCTTCGTATGTATCGTAGCTTATAATTATAAATTATTTTTTACGTATAATTTAACGCTAATTTGAGGACGAGATCGGGTTACAATATATTTGGATCCCGTGAACTCTCCACTCTTGATCATGCTCTGTAGTTATATTACAATTCCAGGGTTCGGAACTCAAAGCATAAAAAAAAAAATATAGAAATTCTGTCACTGTATAATGTCTGATGGAATTTTCATTCAAATGATAAAATGTTATGCAACTATAAAAAATATAATATAATTATTTTTGGAGCACGAACAGGTTTTTTAACATATGTAGATGTGCGGTAACATTTTGATGTTTAGATGAGTTATTTAAACTTATGTTTAGATAAGTTACTTAAACAGTGGTGTTCCCATAGTATACTAAATGTACGCCGTATACTATCAACATCATTTTGAAAATTCACGGGTATACTACGTATACTCTCAAGTCTCAAGCACTTGGCGGAGATTATTAAATGTTTGTAATTAGTTTTAAATGTTTTAATTTTGCTCATATTTTGTATTAGACATTTAGTTTTCCCTCAGTGTATCACTATGAAATAATTATTGATGGTATATTATGTGTTCACGATAGTATCAACTTATTTAAATCATTTTGATTTCTATTCATGTAAAAAATAAAAATATACACAATTCGATTTTTCGCTAAATATTTACAACCCCCTTTTCTACCACTACCGACTAAAAATCATTAAAATGTCCATATTCGGACACTGTACGGAATAGTGCACTCTCAAAAAAACGGATGGGAACTTCACTGGTTTCAAATATAAATAAACATGAATTGTTCTCATCAATAAAAACGTTAACATTCAATTGAAGTCGAATTTAATGCACATCAGCGTAATATAAAATCACAAAAAAAAAAAAATGACTAATTACGCATATAATAATTATAATGGCATAAACGGTGAAATATTAAACGGGCTTTCGAATAAAATTTCGTCGCGTCATGAAATCAATAAGTAGTAGCACGAAACTTTTTGCCGTTAAACTATCATATATCATTATAATATAAATTATATAAATATGTTGATGCGATTATTTTTTCAACATCACGCAAACGACGTAAAATCCGATTGCTTGTTATGTCATCACCATTAATTTTTAACGTATCGGGGCCTAGTAATAATATAATATTTAATAATAACCGACACTAACCATCATTGACCGGATGAAAGTTGTATCCTTGTTTGCAGATCAACTGCAACACGTTGGCGAGTTGCGATCCACAGAAATGCCTCGGCGTGTCCCACGAAAAATTGATGATTGGTGAGCTGCTTACGTGGCTGGCCAGCAACATTATGATCACGAATGCTATAGCTGAGTTCATAGCAAATCACGTCTGAAACATATAACGTGAACACAAGGTGAAGTAAACCGCTGGTAAACAACTTCCATTCGTGGAATAGTATTATAAAAATTACGAGACGAATGATTAGCAAAAATATTCAATCGGGTTTGTATTAATTTATGATTAACGATAGTAATATGCGTTGTTAAAATTACGAACGTGTGTAGTCGAAGAATGTTTTGCACTTAACACGGTATTGCGGTCGTCAAAATACGGCCAAAATAGCGAGATGAATCGTTTGGAATGATGAAAAAATGACTAACGGGAAGTGATATGCGTGCATGTATGTTAGTAAAGCATGTGGTACGTATGTAGTTTCAGTCATTTGTGATGGAAATAACTACGTACCGACGAATTTAATTGTTGAGTTGAATACTAAAAAGTGTGTTTTTTTAAAAGTTGTAATGCGAACGTGTTCGACAAGCAACGATTACGATGACAATACGAGTAAAAATAGTAGGTAATGTAAACACTGTTCACGGAATATTATAATAATATAATTACACGTATCACGTAAAAGAAATCGAACTATAATCGTGGGAGAGTGCCTTATATAGTGGCGTGTGTACAGCAAGGTTCAAAATTTCAATTCGCGAGTCAAACATTGGAGTAGAGGTGGAACGATTGGCTTTGCTCGGACGTATGATATATATAGATATGTATGTATAATACATAATATTATATCTGAACACATACATATAGTATTTGTCGTTGTTCATATACGTATATGTAATTATATCAATTTATATATATATATAATATAGGTGTACATGATTATCTCGTATAATGCTAAATTGAAATGGAATTAATTGTTACATCCGAATGGTATACATAATTATGTATGATAGTTTATAATACATTAATAACAACAACGTATTGTAACTTGTAAATAACTATTTGTTTTATGATTGAAAATGTTAGCAGCCCCTCGCGCTACTGCATTGAGACTGAAGTCCTCCACATTGTGCAATGTGCACGAATAATACATGATGTGTTATAAAAATTCAAATATTGTAGACGCAGCTCCAGAAAACACTAGAAGAGTAATTGTTTTCAAAATTAAACGAAAAACCATTGGAAATCTAAAGTACATAGATGTTTGGTAACTAAAAAAAAAGACTTTTTCAGAGTATATAAATATGATATGTTGTTTTCACATTGCGTGTAATACCATACACGTGATTAATAAATTTATTTGGTATGGATTTGCTTTACTCGAAAAGGTGCTTACAGTACAGTATAGTACACTGTTGTAAAATTATTAGATTTATTATGATTTACCTTGAGGTCAGAAAAAGAAATTTCTGTAAAATAATTTACATTAAATAATATGCAACGAATTGGAATTATGTAAAAATCAAATAATAAAATGGATAAAATTCCAATGTTGATATCGTGTACGTCAGCACGTAAATATATGTTTATTATTACCATTAATTTTTTAAGGATGTAATTAAACTTCTTCAAAATGATAAGGATATAAATAGTGTGCAATAAAGTAGTGTATACCGTAAATCTTAATTCGTGGTTATGACAATATGGTCTTTGGGGAAGGAGGAGCGATCACTTCTAAGAATCTTCTAAATTACGAGCCTGGTGTGATATAATTTAGTTAAAAAAACATTATTGAAATTCTATTGTATATAAGAAATATACTATTTAAAGAAAAGTGCATGTTTAACATAGTATATTTGACAGTTATTTATTATCGACGTCGAACGATCTTAAGTAGAAATCCTTCCCGTCGATTAGAACGCACGATTCATTTAAAGTACTCAATAAATGTTAACTTTCTATTGGACTTTTAAGGATACTCAACAAGATAGACTCGCAAATACACGCTAACTCGGATGCGTGACGTGTAAATATTTTTTTTTAAACTTAAGGTTGTACAATTAATATATGACGTGCAATGGTGTAATAGTAAATTTATATACCTTATAGAAGGAATAAATGTATACATATATAATCAAATATAACTTAACCTAACCTCACAATTTTTCGGAGTTTTTTTTTTAATTAACACGAAAAAAAAATCAAAATAATTGTAAAAATAAATACACGATACCTATACTTAATAATTTTTTCCCATATATAAGATTTTTCAGTTCTAACATGTTAGTTGGCTTGATTTTTGCTTTGCTATCAATACCGAAATTAGTACTTGTTTATAATTAATATGCATAGTCGAAAGAAAAAAATAAACAATGTTGGTTATTATTCTGATGTTTTGTCATTTTATATTCTACACCTCATATATTTTATTATTTTTCTAATGTTTTGATGTTTTGATTATTAATGGGGGTATACAATGCACGTTATATTAATACTATTAAATACCGATGATTTTCTGTGGAAGAATAAAAAATACCATAAATAAACCTTCATTCGTCGAATGACCCATACCATGGTTTATTTCTTGTCCAAAAAAAATACAGAGATGACTCGTAAATACCTTCTACCGGGACAGTGTCCTGATAAAAACATTTTGTCGTGAATTTCGATTAAAAAAATTAAAATTCAGTAGGTATACCAGTAAATTTATGAACATTTTTAACTAGAGATGTTCCGGGTACCACGTAATTACTCGATGGCCGGGTACTCGATATCATATTTAAGACTCGGCTCTTACTCGATACCCGGCGAAATACTACATTTTTACTCGACTTATATTCAATGGCAAACGCTAATAATCTATTTATAAATATATGCATACCTATAATTAATATAACGGGAAAAATCTAAATATCTAGGGTAATGAATTATAATTTATTTTGGTACATATTGGAATATCTGAACCGATTTAAAATAACCCGTTGTCTATTGAGCAAAATTGTACATAGCTATTGCCTAATATCTAAACAGCTGGTATTAGTGTTATACTAATAGTGTACTTAATTTGTATTAGTGTTTGGCTAAGTATATGCTCAGATTCATCTTTTATTAGTTTTATTTTTGTTATTAATTTATTATAATTGCAGAACTACCTATCTAATGGCCAGTACCAGAGTACTGAGTATTTAAACTGTTTAAAGACATAAATTATATTATTAATAATTTCTTAATCAGTAATTGTTAGTTGATATTTTAATACTAGTAAAATACCTATTTTGTATTTACATTTCTACTCGACCTATACTCGATAACCTGGTATGTGTTAAAATTTTTACTCGGCCAATACTCGATACCCGGTTAGTATTAAAATTTTTACTCGGCCAATACTCGATACCCGGTTAGTATAAACAATTTTACTTGGCCAGTACTCGGTACCCGGCTTAATACCAGATTTTCTACTCGGAACATCTCTATTTTTAACGATTCCTAATTAACAATTTAATGTTAAAGCAGTCATAATATAAATCGAGCGAAACTATAATTTGCCCCGGTAAAATGTAAAAACGTTCAAACCACCTCTGGGAAAATTACCCGCAACGAACAGTTGATATAGATATGCTGAGGAATGCTTAGATAACAGATGTCGTTCATATAACGAAAATATATTTATTATTATATTAATATATACGTTCAATTTTTAAAGTTGATCACTGCTCAAATCTACTGTATTTTGACGAAAAGTCTTTCTCCAAGGTTTGGCGTTACGAAATGAGCCACGTTTTCTCGTCTCCCGTTCCGAATAAATTCTTTGATTCACGGCCATACAGGAAGAAATTCGCCCTGTTTAATGTTCAATCGCTTAGTTTATCTAACCCGATATTTATCAAAGCAGAGTAACACCGGTGCCGATCTGCCTCGATATACTCGTACTTACGTACTAATCCATCGGTTCCGCGATAGCGGCAGCAGTACGCATAAGAGTTATGCGTAACGAATGTTGGGTGTTGTGTGCTATTAAAATGTACCCTTGGAATTGTGATATAACTCCTTTGTTATACTATGGTACATGTTGACATTCGAGCGATAATGTCTGAACTTTGCTCTTAGAATATTAATGATAACATAATCTGTATAGATACCCTACGTTACACAACCGCGTAAAGAGACAATGGCAAATCATAAAAAAAAAAATTAATTAATAAAAAAAACATTAATCAGAATCTAAAAATATATTTTTCCAGAATAACTATGTGTAGACTATTTTTGTTTAACGAGTAACATTATCTGCAGTTGTTGCCGTCGTCTCGGCCGACCCCGAAATCGTCGATGAACACAGATAATTTATACAAATAGTTCATTTGTCATTGTATGCTTGATGAAAATATTGGATTAAAAGGACCATTTTATGTATGTAATTATTTATTTTTTCTCTTACAAAACATGTTTCTATATTAGGTAATATTTATGTTTAAAACTGAAAATAAATATTGATCATACAATGGATGGATTGTATACCGTCAACAGTTTATTTTAGTGATGGGCATAATCGAGTGAAAATAATCGAGTTACTCGATTGTTGATAATAATCGAGATATCTCAATTGTTAAAATAATAATCGATTATGTAATCCAGTGACTTTTCACTCGAACTATAGTAACTCAAGTACTCGTCACTCGGGTACCTTATTCGAAACTTTATTTTTAGAATACTAAGTCCAAAACTCCGAACAACGTAAACAATTGAATGAATAATATTAGTCATAATTTGATATAAATAAATATTGTTTCATTTTGTACTCGCTAGCACGCGTTAACAGTCGACACTGTTCACTAATTGTTCATTAGTCTTTAGTTCTTTACCTATTTATTAAAAATTATTTATTTTTAAAATTTAAAAATGAGGCCGGGTAGTAAATAACATTCAATAGTATGGGAAAATTTAAAAAAAAATGCTATTCGGAACGAGTATTTTCAAAAACGGGGCAAATAATTAACGACCGTCAAAGCAGATTAACTTCTAAAAATTTAGATTATATAATTTTTTTAAATAGTAATTTAAATTTAAGTAATTACAATTGTTAAATTTATTAGTAACTATTATTATTTATGTCTAAGATAATTTGCCAGGTTAACGTTTAAATAAAAAAAAAATAAAAA